ACTGATATATACTTGACATCATGTTAACACATCGAAAGAAATAATCATTAAACGCTATTCCTAACACCCCCATGAACAGTTTATGCGTGGGGACGTTTTAGGTTGGGGACGTTTTCGGTGTACCTCTTTCTATCTAGCTTCCAGATTGTAGATATAATATCCTCGGATAATCAACTTCAACAATTCAAGACACACTGCTCCCCCACCCTCTCTCTCTCTCCCTCTCTCTCTCTCTCTCTCTCTCTCTCTCACACACACACACACACACACACACACACACACACACACACACACATACATATATATAATATAATATATATATAATACTACCCTGCAACCAAATACTTGCTCTAACACACATGCACCCACCGGACCGCTTTCGTTCAGCCCGAAGGCTGGAGCCCCATTGTAACCACCGTGGCGTTATGGTTGAAATACTGGACATTTCTAAAGTGACTGAGTGAGTGAGTGAGTTAATGCTTCACGTAACATCGGCAATATTTCAGCCATATCGTGACGACCATTTCTAAAGCCAGGAACCATGGCAATTTGTATATGTGTACGTTAACACATGCCTATAAATGCGTGTCACCTCCAACCCTCATCCCGAACACACTGATAAATATTTGCACCAATTTAGACATGTTGCCAAAGTCTTCTGGGAAGCAGAATAAACCACAAGTCATAATTCAACGGAGTCACTTTTCAACGCGAGGCCCGGGTCACTATTTAACGACTTGGTAAGCTAAAAGGGTCACTTTTCAACTGTTGAAAACTGACCCTGGTCTGTTGAAAACTGAGACCGGGTATATTTTCAACGTTGAATACTGACTCCCGGGTCACTTTTCAACGCGGGTCCATTTTCAATGTCACACCGGTTCACTCCAGCTCACTTGGGCCAGTTAGCGCCAGCTCAGTTGGAACGCCAGCTCAGTTGGGCCAGTTAACGCCAGCTCAGTTGGGCCAGATAACGCCATGTGGGGAATCAAACCCGGCTCGTTTTCGTGAGGAGAGAAATAAGCACCTGGCTATCCTACCGATCACTGTTGCATGGTAGATCGTTCATAAAGTAGCATGCAGGGCTTTATCGAGCACAGCAAGCTGATTGATGTCTTTGTTCAAGGGTCGAGCTGTTTAACGTCGGCTTGTCGGAATCTTTGAAAACATGTATAACGGAACATATCTCATGCTTAATGTCACATAGAAAAGTTCCAATTTGTGAAGCTCGATTTATCGGTTACTTCTCTTAGTTGTTGAAGAGGAATTCATAAAATTGTAATTTACTTTTCAGATTTTGGAAGCACTGTACATATTGTCGGAGCTGAATGCCGGCCTGCAGCTATCTCATGTAAGTATTTCCTGGAGTGAGTGAGTAAGTGATGCCAATCACTGATCTCAGTATTCATAGACTCAGTACTGACAGTCACTGACCTCAGTATTCAAAGATTCAGGAGAAACGGTCACTGACCTCAGTATTCATAGATTCAATACTGGCAGTCACTGATCTCAGTATTCGTAGGTTCAATACTGACAGTCACTGACCTCAGTATTCATACATTCAATACTGACAGTCACCGATCTAAGTATTCATAGACTCCCTTCTGACAGTTACTGACCTCAGTATTCATAGACAGACCACTGACAGTCACTGATCTCAGTATTCATAGGTTCAGTACTGACAGTCACTGACCTCAGTATTCATAGATTCAATACTGACAGTCACTGACCTCAGTATTCATAGACTCCCTACTGACAGTCACTGACCTCAGTATTCGTAGGTTCAAAACTGACAGTCAACGATCTCAGTATTCATAGAATCAGTACTGACAGTCACTGACCTCAGTATTCATTGACTCGCCACTGACAGTCACTGACCTCAGTATTCATAGATTCAATACTGACAGTCACTGACCTCAGTATTCACAGATTCAGTACTGACAGTCATTGACCTCAGTATTCATAGACACCCTACTGACAGTCACTGACCTCAGTATTCATAGATTCAGTACTGACAGTCACTGACCTCAGTATTCAAAGACTTGCTACCGTCACTGACCTCAGTATTCAAAGACTTGCTACCGTCACCGATCTCAGTATTCATATATTCAGTACTGACAGTCACTGAACTCAGTATTCATAGACTCGCTACCAACAGTCACCGATATCAGTACTCATAGACTCCCTTCTGACAGTCACAGACCTCAGTATTCATAGATTCAATACTGACAGTCACAGATCTCAGTATTCATAGATTCAGTACTGACAGTCACAGACCTCAGTATTCATAGATTCAGTACTGACAGTCACTGACCTCAGTATTCATTGACTCGCTAGCGACAGTCATCGATCTCCGTATTTGAGACACGCTACCGACAGTCACCGATCTCAGTATTCATAGACTCCCTACTGACAGTCACTGACCTCAGTATTCATAGATTCAGTACTGACAGTCACCTCAGTATTCATAGATTCAGTACTGACAGTCACTGACCTCAGTGTTCATTGACTCGCTAGCGACAGTCATCGATCTCCGTATTCGAGACACGCTACCGACAGTCACCGATCTCAGTATTCATAGACTCCCTACTGACAGTCACTGACCTCAGTATTCATAGATTCAGTACTGACAGTCACCTCAGTATTCATAGATTCAGTACTGACAGTCACTGACCTCAGTATTCATAGACTCCCTACTGACAGTCAATGACCTCAGTATTCATAGATTCAGTACTGACAGTCACCGATCTCAGTATTCATAGACTCCCTTCTGATAGCTGCTAATATCTGTATTAGTGGAATCATTGATAGCGACCGAGCTCGGTATCCACAGATCCTAACATCCACGATATGCACCACAGTGTAATTCAAAGGGATACCTGATTGCTTTACCTGTTTACAGAAGATGGATTGTACTTCGTCTCTTCCAGAATATGTTGGGCTGAGATTAATGCATCACTGTCATGTCATGGCGAGTCAATTCTGCACAGCCAACCATCGTTAAAACCTAGATTGTACATACATAAGTGTGATACGGTTCTTTAAGGGTCGGTCCCGTTAAGATCTGGGGTTAGAATAGGTCTTTAGCAACCCATGCTTGCCGTAAAAAGGGAGACTATGCCTCGTAAGAGGCGACAAACGGGATCGGGGGGTCAGGCCGTCTGACTTGGTTGATGCATGTCATCGATCCCAATTGCGTGGATCCATGCTCATGATATCAATCACTGGATTGTCTGGTCCAGACTCGATTATTTACAGACCGCCATCATATAGATGGAATATTGCTACGCTCGGCGTTAAACAACAAACAAACAACCAACTTTAACAGTCGTGTGGCGTAGCTGGAGAGCTTTGCGTTCACACACTGAATGTGTAATATTTCTACTCAAACCTATCGGGGGTGTAAGCCTTGGAGGTTTTTTTTTTGGTCAACTGAAAACTCCGCTCCAGGCTGATTCCTTTTTCCTGTGGTATTCTTTGTAATGACTGAAACGGACGTAAATTATTAGCCAACATCTTTCCTTAAAACAAAAGTTTCCAACTGTATTCCAGGCGGGAAAATTTACAAATATTCTTGACTTTTAACTTCTGAACGTTCGGTAATGTATAAAGAAGCAATTTGAATGCATGATAAATTCTTTCTGCGAGTGAGAAAAATTATCTTTCTGTCCAAAGTTGATCTGTACAGTGCACTGTGCAAGGCTCTTTAAAAAGCGTTGGACCCTAAACCAGTATTTTATCAGTCGCACATTATTTTAGGACATACTGATGGATATTGTAAGAACGATATAACCCTGAACAAAGATATATATATGTTCTCAATCAAAGGTTATTCAATTGCTTTTACATGACATTTGTTATAGATAAGACAATAGTATTACATCATCTTTTAGCCTGAAAGATCAAGCAAATATCTGAAAAAAATATTATCAATTTCACACTACCAGTGATACATTCCTGAAATTATGGAGAATTTAGAACTATTCACAAAGGTGTTATATTTAAATAAACCTTTACACCTGTGAAGATCCTGATAAGAATAGGTCTTCCGCAACCCATGCTTGTCGTCAGAGGCGACAATGCGTGTCGTAAGAGGTGACTAACGGGATCGGGGAGTCAGGCTCTCTAACATGCTTGGTGCATGTCATCATAACCCAAATGCGAGGACCGATGCTCATTATTGCAATCACTGGAATGTCTGGTCCAGACTCGATTATTTACAGGCCGCCGCCATGTAACGGTAATATTGTTGAGTGCGGCGTTAAACAACAAACCCCTTCTTTATTGCAATAGGCTATGGTCAGCTTTGACTGAATCTCTTAACCGATTCCTGTGTAAGTACAATTATACAATCATGGATATTATTCATTCTACACTGGAATAACTCAGAAAGCTGACGTTGTTGACGTACTTGCGACATCAATCACTGACCAGCGCTTGTAAACATTCCGCGACACACAGACTTTGGCGGGGTAACGGCGAAAGTGACTAAAGCGGACATAGAATATACCTGTTCACGCGGTGTATGTTGAACACAAAAATGTCAAAAATATCCTAAAACATGGAATTTTTTGGTTTATTTTTATCTTCTTTCGTTGAGAATCCACACACAAACACTTTTGTTGAGAAATTCACTCACTGAGGTCGTATTTCATACACGAACATCGTCCACGTCTGGCAGATATCTGTACAATGGGGGTAAATAAAAAATGTATAAAAAATTCTTTTATATTGCCGTTTTCTGTGAATTATTCTATTTGTTTCTTAATTAAATGCATTTTGAATTCTCTTAGTAATAGTTTTACATTGTAATTAGCGCGCTAATATAGCGCAGTTGTGGGAGATATTCTGTACTGATGAAAAACACAGACGAACATTCAGCGCGCTGTTTGGAAACAAGCAAACAATCAGCCGATATTTTCAGTAAATCTCTTTCTGTGTCTCAGTTTGTAACAAACAGTGAAATAAACTTGCTACACAACAAATACAATGTTTATTTCCAGGTCCTAAACTTCACCTGGACGCGGCTCGGGCCAACAAAAGATGGTGCCACGTAACTACAGACGGTGAACTGGTCAACTCGCCGCCCGACACACGGGATGAGGGGCGGAACAGGCTACAGGAGTACCCGGGGACCTGTAGCTCCCCCATCCCCCTTCCTCCACCCCCCTCCAACCTCCTCCCCACCACACCAACATACTGGGAAACAGAGACCAGGGTGCGAGTGGTGGGGAGAGTGCCGTTGTATGTCCTGGAGATTGGGGTGTGCGAGGCAGGACAGGTGGACAGTGCGCCGTGTGTTTCTCTACAGCGTCGCTCCTGGTGTGTCAGTGTAGAGAGCTGTGGCAGACACGGGGAGAGTCCCTGTACCGCGGTGTGGCGGGAGAGGAAGCAGGGCGAGTGTCACCAGAACACCATGTCCACCACTCCAGGCACACAGGCCACCCTCCACTATGGCGTGGTGCTGGATGTGGGGAGGGGGAGAGTGGCCTTCATTGACTTGGACAGGGGGATTGTTCTTGGCAAGTATGATGAGGTGTTCCGGGAACCTCTTGTCCCCATGTTTGGTGTTGGGCGGCTGTCATCCCTCCGCTCTGTGGCGATGAGTCTGATCAGCGGTGAGGATGTCGACATGACAGACACCAAGAGGGCCCTCGTCTACCAAGCGCTGAGATAGGAAATAAACTGGTTCTGTAAAGTTGTCTGTGTAACTCAGAGATTTCTATCAACTGTTTCAATGACAGGCGAGGAAAGTGAGTGAAGCGGACATAGAAGTGTTCGGTTTGTGTTCTGTTTGTTGTGTACAAAATACAACCAAGTTCTTCACATGTCTGGTTTCACTACTTTCCTCGTTTCTCATGGGACTGAAATACATTTTAAATACTCACAGTAATATTGTTATGATGAATCTATTGCTGTAGTTGCTGAAATTATGTCACAGCAACAACTTTCTGAAATGTGATGTGACACAGGAGTGAGTGCACAGACAAATTGTAAAATTTCTTTCAAAACAAGATTTCTTCTGCTTATATTGATTTAATACTATAAAATTAGTGTTTTAAATCCCCACATGACTATTGTTACGATGAAATTATTGCTGTAGTTGCTGAAATTATGCCCAGACAAAAATGAGCACAGACCAAATGTAAATAAAAAGTTGCTTCGAAACAGATTTCTTCAGCATATATTGATTTAATGCCATAACATAATTATTTCCAAACCACACATTATACTGTTTAGATGGGATTGTTGATGTAGTTGTGGAAACTAAACTGCCACAGAAAATGAAAGTCAACCTCAATGTCTGATTCTGGCAAAATGTTTAACAAACAAGAAATGATTATTCCACTGTGATGTACTTGATACAGGGATCCTGGTGGTGTTCTGTACCTAGTCACGTATATGTGTAATTGTATATGTTTGTTTTGTTTGTGTGTTTGTTTGTTGTTTAACGCCGCACTCAGCAATATTCCAGCTGTATGACGGCGGTCTGTAAATAATCAAGTCTGGACCAGACAATCCAGTGATTGACATCATGCGCATCAATCCACGCAATTGGGATCAATGACATGCATCAACCAAGTCAGCGAGCCTGACCACCCTATCCCTATTAGTTGCCTTTTACGACAAGCATAGTCGCTTTTTATGGCAAGCATGGGTTGCTGATGGCATATTCTACCCCGGCAATTGTATATGTACATGTGTGACATGTAGATATTGAGACCACATATTTAATTTAATCTATATAGTCAATATTTATTTAGTGAGGTATATAAAATACTGACCTGCACAAAAAATGTTTGTTTAAATTAAATCTGGTGAATATCTCAAAGTATTTTGGTGTCTTTCTTTTATATCTTACAGATGTATTTTACATTGTTCATAATCATGTACTTACTTGTAGTATGACTAAGAAATACATTGGCTTAGATATAAATTCGGAGATTGTAAAGATTACAGTGCCATGCAAACAAACATAACATGAATCTCTATGAGGTGAGGTGAGGTGAGGTGAGGTGAGGTGAGGTGAGGTGAGGTGAGGTGAGGTGAGGTGAGGTGAGGTGAGGTGAGGTGAGGTGAGGTGAGGTGAGGTGTAATGTGGTTTAACGTCGCGTCCCAGATTATTGCACTAATACAGCGACGTGCAAGCACGTGTGTGTGTATGTGTGGCTGCTTGTACTAGTTCGGACATATGCCGATTTATAGTGCTTGCCCACTGAGATTCCATGCCACAGTTTAACATGAATACCCCATTCAGACACAGAATTACGTTCGATAACATTTCTGAAGTCATCAGTATTTGTGTAAATCAGAGTCATTGTTTATTAAAAAAACTCTATATTTTCCAGCATCATATATAATAAAAACAAAACCGATAGGTCAGTTCAATGGAAGGTAGCCAAGTTGTGCTTCATTCACTCGCCATTCATTTGCCAGTTGTACATTTACCTGCTGTGTCCATGGTCATAATGGGTTTCCTTTACCATGTTAAATGGACACACCAAAAGGACACATGTTGTTATTTACAGATTTGTTTGCTTGTTTGTTTAACGCCGCATTCAGCAATTTTCCTGCTTTATGGTGACAGACTGTACATAATCGAGTCTGTACCAGACTACCCTGTGATTGAAATCATGAGCATCTATCTACACAATTGAGATACAATGACATGCATCAAAGTCAGCAAGCCTGACCACCTGATCAAGCATAGCTGCCCTTTTCAGCAAGCATGGGTTGCTGAAACCTATGCTAACCCGGATCTTCAGGGGTCCTTTTTGACGAGAAGAGAGGTGAGGGGACACGGGGTTTAACGTCGCGTTCAAGATTATTGCACTGATATAGTGATGTGTGTATTTGTGGCTGCTTGTGCTAGTCCAGACTGTTGCCGATTTATAGTGCTAGCCCACTGAGATACGATGCTGCAGTTTAACATGAATACCCGACTCAGACACAGTATACTGACTCTAAGCAGACCAGTCCTTGTTTTAGCCCATTAATGCCGAGCGCCAGACAGGGTAATAACAAGTACCATCTTGTAACGTCTTTTGGTATGACGCGGCTGGGAACCCTGAACCTGTACGCTGGACGCTCCACCACAAGACCACAGCAGTGGTCGAAGAAAAGAGAGAGCTGACACAATGTCATCTACAATGAACTCCACATGTACGTGTTACGGATTTGGGCATGTTCCACTGAAACAGCAGAACATTACATTAAAAATAAACAGTTTAATACCGCACACAGCAATATTCTAGCAGCCTGTAAATGTCGAGTCTGGAGCAAACGATCCAGTGATTGTGAGCAACAATCCAAGCTATCGCGTACATTGACACGCCATCAAGAGTCACAACGTCCCACCACCCAATCCACCATGCCACCTCCTCCGACTAGTACATGTTGCTTAGGACCTATTCTAACGAGGAATCACAATGAAGGATTATATACATAGGACATGTAAAATTAATTAATTTCCCATAATTATTGTATTTTTTCTTCAGTTTTTAACAGATGTCTGAAAGGTGTTTTTTTATAAACATGTAAAGATATATATTTAAACCTAATGAAATGAGACTATTCAAGCCTTTGAATATAATGGAATATTTCATTTCAGTGAATTAAAAATTATTTCAGTGATATGCTATACCAGCTTGCGAGGGAAGTGAAATGACTGACACTTTGATGAAACCATGAACTGACAAACCAAGGGTTGGTATCAGGGCGAAAAGGGTATTCAAACAAATGGTCAGCAGATCATTGAATAACTAAGGGATGCAACTCTGTTGTAGATAATAACACAGTCTGATAGGCCTCGTCAAGTGTATAATGAATAAATGTTGCATGTGAATAAATTAGCAATATTTCAGCTATATCATGCATGACAAACTGTAAATAAGGAATCTGGACTCAACAATGATCCATGCAGTTGGGGCAGGATGATGCACAATCACACTTTGTAACCATCCAATCCTCATTGTTCTCTTTTAACAAGCTCAGGATACTTCCGATCTATTCTGCCCTGGAAACCCCATTCGGACAACTTAGGGGAACATGGAAGTGGGTAGTGCCAGTACGAAAAGCCTCTTTAGTCTTCTTTGAAATGACAAACACTCAAGAATTATTGCATCGGTTTAATTTGAGAACATATCTGCACAATAGGCATTTAAAACCTAACATAAATACAAACTCAGTCATTATAATAAAATGGAAAATAAATAATGATGACTCTTGTCCTACGACATGACTACTACTGTCTGCAAGCAAAGACACTCTTCACCTCTCCGAGATGACAAGCACACATTCACCCAGTGAGGTATTTACCTCGTGTTGAGTTACTATGGTGATGTGAAGATCTGACAGATGACATCAAATACTAAGACACACACGATTTGGTCTGAATAAACTTAGCAATGATAATGATAGACAACTTACTACCTACTGACAAGTCACCGATGTTCAAAAACATCACAAAGTGTCGGGTAAGAGAAGTTTTTTTAACAAAATACTTCATTTCATGTATTTAAACATTCAGGGTTAATGTTGTTTTTAAGTATGGGCGGCATTGGGTTCCAATTAAAGACGACCTAGTCTGTTTCCTTTGAACAAGGTGAAAGATCCTACTACTTCCATGAAATGAGAAAGCCAAATAGTGACTACTGGACTGTTTGTAGCAGATAGCTCATTGTGTTAATTAGGGTAACTTTAATGTGATCTAATGTAAGCCTTCATGTAAGGTAGGTCCTGAACAAAACGTCTACTCTGGTAAACTAAATGTTTTAGCATACTTTTACTGTAGCTGTCAGGAAATATTCACTTCTCATTGGCTTTCAATCCTAACAGTTGCGGTTGCATGTGATCACAAACCTATTTCTATTTCAACACTGGGAACTCAACATGAGGCACAAATTGAGTTATTTAGTATAAGATTTCATGTAATGAAGTCATGTGGTTAGTCATGAGGTTGTCGTCACATTTCAGTAGGTGTGCTGCAGCTAGTGACATGGCATGGCTGAACACCGTCACATGCTTATATATATATATATATATATATATATATATTTGTTGGCATGTGCCATGTAGCTATATAGGATGCTGAGACAATGTCTTACCATTTGATATTTAGGTGAGAGGGCGGGTTTTGGGGGTAGAGTCATGTTTTTCTTCTTCTATTTTAGGGTCTAAGATCTTTTTCTTCTTAAAAGGGTCCATGTTTCACAACACCATGTGTGGCAAAACCAAGCGTGACGTTTTCTCCAAATTGACAGAAAACTGGTCTACTTGACATGTTTGTACTCACTGCTACTGGGGGGATGTACTTTCCAATTACTAAGATTGTGGATGACGGAGTTAATTAGCATCACCTTCGATGTAAACTGACAAACAAAAGAAACGTTACTAAACTGACATAACATAGAGTGGCATCACGCATCATGTTGACATCCGACGTGTCATATTTAGTACAGCAGGCGGGAATAAGACAGTCGGCGGAATCTGATTTTGTTGACCTGAAGGTGGGGATCTTACACACACGTGACAACAAAGTTTGCCAAGTACACAAAGTTCGCAGAGAATGTAAATATCTTTATATCATTGACAATCTTCGTAATCTGCAATTGTAGTATACAGTCAAAACGACAATGCAAGAGAAATGTCAAATAGATGCCGAACCAGGTCCCATAGCGTGTAAGAAGCAAAACAGTCGTAAAACCATGGCCTTCATCATTGGTAGCACCATTCGCCACTCACACAATTTTCATTAAAATAACAGGAGGTAGGCAGCTGTCTCACCTGGAGGTTAAGTTGACCTTTAGGCAAGGATCTTATCTACAAAATCATCAGCTTCTGGAGGGAGTGGTCGGGTGGCCTACTGGTTCGATTCCCGACATTGGTACAATGTGTGAAGCCCATTTCTGGTGTCCCCCGCCGTGATATTGCTGGAATATTCCCATAAAAGGCGTTAAACCATACTCACTCACTCACTCACTCACTCACTCTGTTTCTGGAATTGACATATCACCTGCATTGTGTATTTACTAGAAGACGCGGGTCCCACCTACATTTGAAGTTGACCAGTGGGCAGGAATATCACCTTCAAGTGCACGGAGATATAAGTGAACAATTATTCCTATACTGATATTAAAATCTGATTCTTTGTTGGTGGTAAAGTAGCCAAGGTAAAAACTAAACACATTTGTATTCATTTTGAAAATTGTTCCTCCCTGTATATCTCAGGGCACATTAAACATATATTTGATACCACCAAATTCTCATTAAAACTGTTATTAATAATTCTGACAACAATCAAGTTAAAAATAGAATAAACAGAGGTGTATCCAAACAAATTTCCCACCCTCCGATTTGTGTCAAAGATATTCATCGACATGTGTATGCCGATGGGAGTATTTGGTTCGCTATACATGTATTACAGAATAGATCACTGACCACTGATTAAAATGATCCAAACATGTAATTGTCATCACCATTTTGACTTTTACGCTGCATGGTTTCGGCGGATATTCGAGACTGATTATTACCTGGGGATTTGAATTTCATCTGTCGAGTATGCCCTGTTTTGCGTTCTGAAGTTGGTACATTCGCTATTGAGCAAAACGGGAAACGATGTCCTACCAAAACACGTTAAATGATGGTAAATGATGGTCCGGATGACAGACTAACATATTCTCTATGAATTCCTTTATTACACAATACAATTCTCTCTTCTATTTTCTATATATGCTGCAGAACAGTCATAGTGCAGGTCTCTTCGGACTAGTACAAACACCCATAATCGTGAAGATCCGGGTTAGAATAGGTCTTCAGCAACCCATGCTTGCC